GATTTTAACTTTTTCATTGTTACTAGGACAAAAGTGATGATTCACCAAGTCACATACCATTCCTTTTTAAGGCCAAATAATATTTACTCCCTTGTGTAGATTTTGTTTATCCATTCATCTACTGAAGAACATTTGGATTGCTTCTACTTTTTTTTTTTTTTTTTGGTCTTTTTGAGACAGGGTCTCCCTGTAGCCCCAGCTGCCCTGGAACTCACCATGTAGGCCAGGCTGGCCTTGAACTCAAAGAAATTCATCTGCCTCTGCCTCCCGAGTGCTGAGATTAAAAGCATGTGCCACCACACCCGGCTGCTTCTACATTTTTAAAGAATGTTTATAATTCTTTTATTTTTATCTTATGTGTATGAGTGTTTTGCCTGTATGCATGTAAGTGGGCCACATGCTTGCAATGCATGTAACATGCAAAAAGGGCATCAGATCTCCTGGAACTGGAGTTTCAGAAGGTTCTTAGCTGCCATGTGGATGTTGGGAACCAAATCCAGGTCCTCTGCAAATGTAGCCAATGCTCTTAACCACTGCCATCTCTTCAACTCCTGCAGCTGTTTTTTAATTATAAATAGTGCTGCTGGTATAAGTATTCTACAGATTTTTGTATGTCTCTGTTCTCATTTTGCTTTGGTATATTTCTAGGACTAGAATTGTTAGGTGTCATGGTCACTGATTGTTTGATGATCTGCCAGGCTATTTTTCAAAGTGGCTGTTGCTGTCCACATTTCTTTGAGAAATAGATGTTCAGATATCCATTCAGTCTTTTAAAACTTCAGATATTTTCTCTTCATTATGAAGTTATGAAAGGAAGGGGTTTTTAAAAATACATATTTTAATGGGGGCTGGAGAGATGGTTCAGTGGTTAAGAGTACTGACCGCTCTTGCAGAGGACCCAGGTTCGATTCCCAGCACCCACATGGTGGCTACGAAGCATCCTTAACTACAGTTCCAAAGGAATCCGATGCCCTCTTCTGACCTCCATGGCATTGCATGACACGGCAGTCATCTGTAACTCCAGTTCCAGGGTATCTGATACCCTCTTCTGACCTCCATGGGCATTTCAGGACACAGGTGTTTTTATATGCATGGCAAGCAATACACTCATACACATAAAATAAAAATAATAAAATATTTTTTAAAATTTTTTTAATATATTTTTAAATGCAAGCAATTTATCAGATAGATGGTTTACAAATGCTTTTTCCTAATCTGGTACATCATCTTTGCACTTTACAGTATGTGTGTGCATGCCACAGTGCAGGTATGGAAGTCAGAGAGCAACCTGAGGGGTCACTCTTCACCTTAGGTTGAGACAGTCTCTGTTGTTTTCCCCTGCACATGCCAGGCTGCCTGCCCTACCTGCTTCCAGAGATTCCTGAAAGTAGTAAGCCACTTATTAGCTGTGTTATAGAGAAACACACGATCTTTGCAGCTCTTCTATCAAAAAAGTAAAAGGGGCAAGGAGGTATTCTGAACGAGTAAAGTACCAAATAACTGTGGGTTAGGAATGTGATAGAACAAAACAACACCTACCCTGGAAGAGTGTGCTAAGAAGCAGCAGCCAAAGTTAGTGACAGCAGATTGCATACGTTTGACGGAGTGAGAACAGTGCATCACATATCGGACTGAATCATTAACTACAAGATGACCTTAGAGTGGTTCTCTGAAATAAAGCCAAATAGGCTTTAGTAAGAGCTCAAGTCCTGCTATTAATTCTACCATTTACTAGTAGTCATCTGGATTCAGCAAATTGGTGGATCTTGTTAACATTCCTACCTTTGCTAAATACAGACACACATCACACCGCATGCATAGAATATAGTACCTGACACCGAAAGGGAGAAGACTTCAATAATTATTAAGGTTATTTACTTTTTTAAAGTTTTTTTCTTATGTTACCATAAGAGTGTTAAAGTATTACAAGTTGCAAGTTACTAAATGGGTTGGGTTTTTTGTTGTTGTTGTTGTTGTTGTTGTTGTTTTATTTTAGTTTTGTTTGTGCTGTTTTAATTATTATTTATCTATTTTTGTTTTGAGACAGGGTCTCACTTTATAGTCAAGGCTGGTGTCAAACTCTATATAGCTCAAGCTGGCCTAGAACTCAGCAATCCCCTTGCCTCCGCCTCCTGAATGTTGCAGTTACAGGTGTATGTCACTATATCCATCTGCTTTTGTTTGTTTGTTTAATTTTAACCAATAGCTATTCTAAACAGTTGGCAATTCTAGTTTGATTTTTAAACAGTGACTAATTGTGTAGATTATATTAGTCTTTCCAGTGGTGATAACCTATATTTGTTGAATACTTTTATTTTATCCTTATCTGGTTTGTGTAGTATTATATTTTGAGAAAAGTGAATACTTCCTCATTCTTATCCTTTGTTCCATTCTCTAGTTTTTGCATTTTTTTCTTATCCAGATCAAATAGCAACTTATGTTTTTAAAGTACATTCCGTCTTTTGATATTTCACTTTATGTTTAACTACAGTTGCTTTTTTTATCAGTCTATTTCATGACTTAAATTTTTTTTCTTCTAAGGTTTTTCTTAAAAATGTTGCTTACGGGGCTGGAGATATAGCTCAGTGGTTAAGAGCACTGGCTGCTTTGCAGAGGACCTGGGTTTGATTCCTAGCACCCACGTGATGGCTGACAACCATCCATAATTCCAGTTCCAAGGGAATCTGACACCCTCTTCTGATCCATGGGCATTGCACAACACAGGTGCACTTATGCACATGCAGACAATACACTCATACACATAATATAAAAATAATAAAATATTTTTTAAATGTTGCTTAATATATAGCTATCTTTTCCAATTAAAAACGTATTTTGCAGCTGGGTGTGGTGGTGCACGCCTTTAATCCCAGCACTCAGGAGGCAGAGGCAGGCGGATCTCTGTGAGTTCAAGCCCAGCCTGGTCTACATAGTGACTCCAGGACAGCTGGGGCTACATAGAGACCCTGTCTCAAAAAGACAGAAAAAAAAAAAAAAAAAAAAAAAAAAATCACTTGAGCCGGGGTGATGGCTCACATCTACAGCCCTCAATATCCAGGATGCTGAAGCAGAAAAATTGCTTGAGCCCAGTTCACAGTTAGTCTGAGTAACATAGACACTCTGTCTCTCAAGGGGCAGCGGGGAAGGAACTTACTTGTTTCTCAAGAAGAAAAAAAATAGTATTTCACTTTTGCGAATCACGTAGAAGAAGGTATATTTTAAATAAAAAGATTATCTTTTTTTACGGATTAAAAACGTTATATTTGGATTCTAAAGGATTGACTCTGCATGGTGATGCATATGTATCACGTATTAGAGCAATCTGACACTGCAAATGTAGATTTCTATTCAGCATTAATAGAAACGAATTATGAAATGTCAGTGTAAAATCTGTCATCTTACATGGTTTATGAATTCAATCTTAATAGTTATGCTTTTCTTGTCTTTAAAATTAATAAGTGTCAGAAAAGCAAAGAATACTTAGAAGATGGAGCTTGCTTAGTGCTATTTCTCAGTTCGAATATAGAATCCTGCTTTATTCCTCTTATTACTAAAGAGTGAGAGTGTGGTGGTTTTATTCACAGTGCACTGTCTGTGGAGACTGTTACTTCTCCAAAGGTTCATAAATGGGGGAGGTAGGTGTTTTAATCAAACCATTTCAAAGACCTCATCATGAGCTACCTGCTCTAAGTTATGTTGTGCTAATTTTTTTTTTTCAGTGTTGGGTATTAAACCCAAGAACTCTTAGTACATGTTAAGCAAGCACTCTGGTACTGAGCTGTATTCCTAGCCTAGATTTTCCAGTTTTAAAGAGTTATTTTTATTTTTTATCTTATGTGCATGTGGTGTGTCTGTGTGAGCAAATGCCACATTTGTATGGGCAAACATGGAGGCTAGAAGAGGGCATCGAATCCCTCGGAGCCAGAGTTAAAGAGGGTTATGAGCCACCTGATGTGGGTGCTTGGAATTAAACTTGGGTCCTCTGTAAGAACAGTAAGCACTAACTACTGAAGTATGGCTCTAGCCCCCACTAACCTAGATTCTAGAATTTCCAAAATGATTGTTTGTCTGAATTTTGTTTTTTGAGACAGTGTACTTTATGTAGTCTAAGCTTGGTCTTCAGCCCCCACTTGTCCCTTCTCAGCTTCCCAGAGACTGAGATTATAGGCACATGCCACTACACTTGATTGATTTTTAAAATATCACTTTAAAATGTTAATATGAATAATTGATTATGTTCCTGTCCTTGGTTTTTCCTATATTTAATTATTTACTTTAATAAAATTGAATAGACTTTGAGTCTCCACTAGAATTATAGGTAGTAAGTGGAGGTTATCACATATTTCATATGTAATCATCTGGCCTATTCATTTTTTTTCAGGGGTAATTATAAAAATGAGTATTTTGTGACTTGTAGGGTAGGAATGAATAGAAGCCAAAATCTATCATATTGCATGATACATTTATAAAGTCCATCTATTACCACTCACTAAAAAATTGGATTCAGTAAATCAGACCTAAATAATATCTTATTAGATTTATTTATGGAGGGTGATGTTTGTGAATGTCAGAGGACAGCTTGCTGGAGTTGGTTCTCTTGTTCTGCCTGGGAATAGAACTCAGGTCGTCAGACTTGTTGACAAGTGCTGAGCCATCTTACCACCCCTCTAATATCTTCTAAAACTAAGAAAATGATGGGCCAGAGAGATGGCTCAGCAGTTAAGCACACTGGTTGCTCTTGCAGAGGACCCAGGTTTGATTCCCAGCACCCACATGAGAGCTAATAACTATCCATAACTACAGTTCCAAGAGAGCCAACACCCTCCTTTGACCTCTACGGGCATTGCATGACATGAGTGTACTTACATACATGCAGGCAGTACGCTCATACACATAAAATAAAAATAATAAAAATACTTTTTTTAAACTAAGAAAATAATCAGGTAATATAGTCTGAACAAAATGGTTCAGTGCTATTTAGTCCACTGCTTTCTTTTCAGGCTCATGAGAGACTTGAAGATTCAAAATTAGAAGCTGTCAGTGACAATAACTTGGAATTAGTGAATGAAATTCTTGAAGATATCACTCCTCTAATAAACGTGGATGAAAATGTGGCAGAACTGGTTGGTATACTCAAAGAGCCCCACTTCCAGGTAACCTTTCCTGTCACTCTTCTTCTCAAGTCCTCTAGGTACCCAAAGTACTCTCCTTTAGTGGTTAATTTCTGATTAATTTTTCTTTTTTTCTCTCTCTTTTTCATTTTCATTTCATGCTTGTGTTTTGCCTGAATGTAATACACCATGTGCAGGCCTGGTGCCACCGAGACTAGAAAAGGGTGTTGGATCCCCTGGAACTGGAGTTATGGACCAGTGTTAGCCTACACATAGGTGCTGACAACCGAACCCACCTCCTTTGGAACAGCAGTCAGTGCCCTTAACCATTGAGCCATCTATCCAGTCCCTAATGTAATTTTTCTTTCAAAGTTATTTAGGGCCTGTTTTGTAGGCACATAAATCCCAGGTTAGGTATTCTAATATCCTGATTTGCTAACATAACATAAATGATACAGACACATAGAACTATATACACTACAGAAATGCATAATATCTGTCACAGAAAGAAAATATCTTGGATTTTCTTTGTGCCAGTGGGAAAAAGCCCACTCATCATCAGCCCATGTGGTAGAAGTATTTTCCAAATGAACAATTTGAACCATATCATCATCATCTTTCTTTTTTAGTTGGCATTATATTTGTTATGGGAGAAAGGACATATACTGTGGTGCATGTTCACAGGTCATAGGATGACTTATTGGAGTTGGTCTCTTCTTCCACAAGGTGGGTCCTGGGGATGGAACTCAGGTTGTCAGGCTTGGTGGCTTAGTGGCTTGGTGGCAAGTGCCTTTACCTGCTGGGCCATCTCGTCAGCCATTCTTCATCTTTACTATCACTGTTTCTCATTCCTCCTTCTCTAGATCAGAGTACAATCAGTGACTGCCCATGACACATAGATAGAAGGGCTGTCTGAGGCTAGAACTGTTACACCCCTTACCTTGTTCAACAGTTACAAAATTTGGCTTATCATGGAGTGAATCAGTATCATACAAAATATTCACTCCAAACAGAAAGGATGAGAAGACTTTCTTTTAAACCTATAATAATGAAGAAAATAATGATGATGGAGAATGTTAGGAAAGTAGGACATGTGTAGAAACACCAGAAGTAAATCCAGCCATGTATTGTATGGCCATTCATTTTATGACAATGGCACCGTACTTCAGTAGAGAATGAATTTTCCTGGGATAGCAGAATAAAGTGCCGTGTGCCTTTTCCTGCAAATGATGTCCTACTGAAGAGACAAAGCTGTGAAGCACCCCACTTTTGGGTTCCTCTGGCTGTTTTCCTACTGTGTTACATATTTGTAGATGTTTTAATTAAAAGATTGATGATTCAGTTCAAATTCACTGTTTTAAGCCAGACTGCATCTTAAATGATGATTCATAATGAGGTGGACTATATCAGAATATGCAGAATACCTTTTTGCCCCACCACTCTTGATGCTGAAATTGGTTCCTTGATTAAGGGCTGTGAAAGTCTAGTCCTTTCTTTGAAGTCTCTGCTAGGAAGTAATCTAATATGTTCTTATTCTAACATTATACAAATACTTTTTAAATTTTGGAGTAGGTTTGGTTGGTTGTTGAGATAGGGTCTGGTTACATAGCATAGGCTGGCCTCATCACCATCCTCTCCCAGCTCAGCCGTCCGAGTGCTGGGATTACAGGCATGTGCCACTACACTTGGCTGTACAAGTGTTCTTTCCTAACAACCACTTGCTCTAGGTGAATACAAATTAATAATCCTTTCCTAAATGAATATTTTCATTAGAGATTACAAAATATGTTTTCCAAATGATCTCAGTCTCATTCTTCCTCTTCCCTGCTATCTGCCCTACGCTGCCTTTCCCACTGAAAAAGCAGCAAAGTGCTGGGTCCTCTTCACCAGTTTTCAAAGTAGAATTGTTTAAAACAGCAACTTCTAATGACAACAAATGAGATTTTTTTTTTTTAGTCCTCTTAATAACATAATCCCTATGGATTTTTCATTAATAAAATGTTTCAATTCTCTGTAATAGTTACTCCTTTGAATTTTTAATTGTTATGACTTTAGCCAGTGGGGAGCAAATTTTTAGTATATGAAAATTCTAGTGAAATGTTAGTATATGAAATTTTAGTATATGATAATTCTTGACTAGAAAGATGGAATTGTGTAATGTTTCACATAGTCATGGGAGAAAAAAAAATTACTGTCTTAAAACAGAAGCCCAGTTTAGAGCTTTGTAAAACTTGCAACATTCATAGGAAGACCACCCCCTTCATTTTTTAGTTTTTTGTATGTTTTGTGTAGGTGTGCATGTGTGTGTGAAGTCCAGGGGTTGATTGATGTCTGAGGTCTTCCTCAGTTGCTCCTTTACCTTATTTTTTGAGATAGGGTCTCTCTCATTGAACCTAGAGCTCATCAAGTGGCTAGGCTGATAGGGCAGCAAGAACTACATGATAGAATTTTAGGTGTTGCCACCATTCCCAGTTTTTATGTAGGTACCAGGGATCTGGTCTCAAGTCCTCATGCTTGATGGCAAGCACTTAACTTACTGAGCCCTCTTACCCAGATTTTAATGTTTTTTTCTCCATTGTCTTAACAAATGGTTTTATGATATTACCAAGAATTACCAGTTCAGCCAATATCCAGATTGTTTCTGTTCTGAATTTGCTAATACTTGTTCCCTTTTTCTGATTTGATTTTTTTAAACGTGTATTCTGTCTACTCAAAAAAATAATATAACTTGGCTTTATGGTAATTAAGTACAGTTTCTATAAAACTTTTTTTATATGAAGATTTAATTGAATATACAAAAATGTGTGTATGAAATTCCTGGACAGCTAGGTTAAAATCATGCATAATAATATCACATCCACAGTAAATATAGAGGGCATTATATCCATAACCATTTCTGATTCATTTTTTTACCTCAAAAAACTCACATCTTTTATAGGCTAAAACCTTAATTGGTAATTTAAAATTTCCTGTCCCTGATAGAAATTGCCAATATTTCTTTTCTATTGGACATCATTTAGCATACATGTCATACTTGTGAAAAATATATTACTGACATACCAACATATGTAAAAATTAATCCCAGCACTCAGGAAGCAGAGGCAGGTGGATCTCTGTGAGTTCAAGGCCAGCCTGGTCTACATAGTGAGTTCCAGGACAGCTGGGGCTACAGGAAGACCCTGTCTCAAAAAGACTCCCCCCCCAAAAATTAGGGTCCTTGTAATTTGACTTTTTGGATACTGTATGGATAGAGATTAATGGAAAAGGCTGAAGAAGATGCTGATGCTGTTGATAAGTTCAGGGCCTCCCCTAAACCAGCCTTGGAAACCCAGGTTTAGTTTCCAGTGGACACACTGTTTTAAAGTGTATGACTAGGTTCTACCAGTCTCTTCAGATCTAAAACTTGAATATCATGTTGTTGGATGACAATAAGTGACATAATTTATATTTCTTAAAAAGATTGTATATTTGATACAATTCATGTTTGGGAACGTATAATGTGAGCCTTGGAAATTTTTAGTACTCCATAGTGATAATGAACTAGTAAATTATTTTTAGTAACTTGCTCTCTCAGTAGCTAATAACCACAGTCTGTTTTGACTTCTTACAGTCGCTCCTGGAGGCACATGATATTGTAGCATCAAAGTGTTATGATTCACCTCCATCAAGCCCTGAAATGAATAATTCTTCTCTCAATAATCAGTTGTTACCTGTAGATGCCATTCGTATTCTTGGTATTCACAAAAGAGCGGGGGAGCCATTGGTGAGTGGATAAAGTGCTTTCTTAAACCTGAAATGTAATGTGTGGCTCAGTCACTACTCTTGTTTTCTTTTTGTAACTTAACTATTGTGAAAGTTGTGTGCATGTTTATCAGTCTTTTGGGGCTGCATATAAATATACAACAGATGACCTCTCAACTTCATCTATCTATAAAATGAAATGTTAAACTGAATAAAAACCTATAACTATGCCAGTGTGTAGCAAGAAAACTATTCTCTCTCTTTCTAGCCTTTCCAAAAAATTAACTCAGGTTGCTTACTAATGATAATACCAGAATGAAGAAGTTGTTTTTAAAGGTTGAAGCCATAATAGGATTGGTAACAGTGATATGGCAAAAAGGAAAAGCCAGGAATCTTGACTTGCTTCATTTTGTCCTGTGGAATATAGCCTAGATACTGGTAGACATTTCATTTTTAGGATTAGCCTTAGCACGTGGATCCACTTTTGATGGAGGTGGTATATAGTGTCACAGTTGTACCTATTTTATTGGGATTGAAATATTAGGACAAGACAGTATGTGGGGAAAGTAAGAATAATTCAGTTACCTAGTTTTAGAATTGTTTTACTATGTATATTCATGAATATGTACATATTTGTTCTTAAGATAAATGGTAATTTTGGATTTTTAAATTTCCTAAAGGGTGTAACATTTAGGGTTGAAAATAATGATCTAGTAATTGCCCGAATCCTTCATGGAGGAATGATAGATCGACAAGGTCTGCTTCATGTGGGAGATATCATTAAAGAAGTCAATGGCCATGAGGTTGGAAATAATCCAAAGGAATTACAAGAATTATTGAAAAATATCAGTGGAAGTGTCACCCTAAAAATTTTACCAAGTTATAGAGATACTATTACTCCTCAACAGGTTAGTAATAATTTTGGGGATAATATTAAGAATACTGTATTTTTTAAATCATTCTATTGGATATAACCATCAATTGCTACTGTTTTGCTAAAGAAACAAGAAGACAAATTGTCTGATTTAATTGTGGTGAATTAACTTCTTTGTCATGTGTGAATGTTTGAATTTTTATATAATGCCATCTTAGTATTATAAAGGACATGATAAGACATTTTTGTGACTATTATGAACCCTGTAATTTCAGTAGCTAATAGCTAGGTATCAGAAAAGCCTAAAGACTTTTAATTATTACTCTTGAAAACATTTTTGACATCTGTTATGTTCTGAGAATTGTTTTAGGGCCTTTGAAAAGGTGGAGTCTAGGTATCTCCAGATTAATGTTCTTAGGATATGCTAAATGAGAGTGTCAAAAAGGCTGAAATGAAGAAAATCTTGACTTTATTTAGCTATCACATGTCATGTGTACTTTAAGTAAAATAAATAAATGAACAAGAAAGTGTTCTAATGATAGAACATCCAGGTCTCTTGTGAATGTGATAAGGTAATCGCAGCACTGGGAGGCTGAGGCAGAATGACCTCAAGTTCAGAGCTCTGCTTGGGGTACGTAGTGAGACACCCCACCCCCCAAAAAAGAAAGAGCAGAGATAGCCTTTCAGTATTTGAACTGTTTATTAGAAAATAGGATAGTCTGCATAATCATGAATTTTTACCTATGAATTACGCTTGTAAAAAACTGTGAATTTTGGTTAAAACGGAGGTAGAGCGCTGTTCTGGTTTCATTTCTGTTGCTGTAACAAAATACTCTTGACAAAAAGCAATTTAGGGGAGAAGGGGGTTTATTGCAGCTTATAATTCCAGGTTTAGTCCATGTTTGTAGAGAAGTCAAGGCAGGTGCTTCAAACAGCTACTCACATCGCTCTCACAGGACCAGAGTGAAAGGAATGGATACAAGCTTGCTTGTACTCAGCTTGATTTCTCCACACCTACCTAGTTCAGGACCTCCTGTTTAGGGAGTGCTGCCTCCCACTCTGGGCTGGGCTTTCACACATAATTAACTTAATTAAGGCCCCCACGGACAAGTTTACAGGCTGACTCATTGTAGATAATCCATCATTGAGACTAGGTTGTGTCAAATTGACAGTGAAAACTAACATTGCCTTACTTTCAAGAAAAAAGAAAAATCATGAAAAGTAAAATGAACTTTAGAAGATCACTGTTCTCAGGCTGTCTTTATTTCTCCATTGGTATATCTCCATTTGTGAAAAATCAGACTTGACCTAGAATAGGTGGGAAGAATATATTTCCTTTAATTATTATCTGTTAATTATAATAGGAAGGTTTTTTCCCTCTGTAATCCCAACCAGAAATCTTATAATTCACCCTGTGTATTAGTTCCTTTCTCATTCTGTAACAGAATACCTGAAAAAGACAACCAAAGGAAGAAAGGGTTTATTTTGGCTCACGGTTTAAGGGAGCAGCTCATCATGGTGGGGAAGTCATAGCAGCAGAAGCTTGAATCAACTGGTCACATTGCGTTCCACGGTCAGGAAGTACATAGAGAGGAATGCCAGTGCCCAGCTCCCTCCTCCTTATTCAGTCTAGGAACTTCATAAACACTCCCAGAGGTAATTCATGGTAATTCTTCCATGGTAATTCTAAACCCTATCCAATAGATGGTGAAGATTAACCATCACACCATGGGTATAATGAACTTTATAGGCAAAATAACTTTTTGTAATACTAGATTTCTATGTAGATTTTGTATCTGGTAACTGAATAGCCAATCTCAATATGTTGATATTTAGTCTTGGCTTAAGCATAAATTTTTCCCATCCCATAACTTCTAATTTTCCCCACCCTTTAGAACTAGATGTGAGGCAGGAATTCAAGTGTGAAGTAAGGGAGAAAAGGTCATATGAGCTGATGAAACCATCTCCAGCATACCATACTGTGGGAGAGGATGCAGTGAGCAGGGGAAATTGCATTGAAACAACAGGCATGAACCATGATATGCTGTGGAGTAGGGAAGGCATTTGCTCATAGAACTAACTCATTTAGTAGCTCCATCATGAAGTAGAGTTACCCCCCTACACACACATACACCATTAGCCACCATATCACTTTCTGCAGTTTCCTCAGTTACCCCCGCTCAACCAAAGTCTAAAAATACTAAATGGAAAATTCCTGAAATAAATTTTAAATGTTCACATTCTGAGCAGTATGATGGACTCTTACTGTTCCTGCTCAGTTCCACCCAAGTTCCACTGAATCATCCCCTTGTCCATAGCACTCACAGTATGCACAGTACCCACCCATTAGTCACTAACAGCTGTCTCGATTATCAAAACACGCATGCTAGTGTAGCGGTGCTTATGCTCAAGTAACCCCTGTTGTGCTTAACAACAACAGATCTCAAAGCACAAGGCAAATGATGCTGGCAATTCAGATATGCCAACTCAGAAGCAGTGGAGTACTTCCTGTAAGTGTGATGATGACAGCTCTTGATTTAGTAAGAAAGCAAGAATCTCGTCCTGAAGTTGCTAAGGTCTATAGTAAGAACAGATCTTTTTGTCCATGAAATTGTGAAGAAAGAAAAAGAAATATTGCCATTTTACTGTCTCACCTAAAACAGTAAAAGTTAGGCCACAGTGTATGTCAAGTGCTTAGTTAAAAGACATGAAGTTACAAAGTTCAGTACTTTCTGAGGTTTAGGCATCCACTGGACTCTTAGATTGTGTCCCCTGTGGAGAAGTGGGGATTCCTGTGGTTGGATCTGGCATAGCTTCTCTGGATTGCTGTGAGAGCAGAGGGAAGCCTGGAGCTCTCCTGTCAGGGTGGTTGCAAAGCTTATCAGTAGATCATCTTTGTCAGGAACATGTGAGGCTCTGGCTTGTAGTCCAAAATCTTTTATGCAACGTGTATATTTTACAGTTTGAGAACCAGAGTAAATTAGAAGTTGTAACCATTTTGGAATTTCTTCAAGTTATATATATTGGGTTTCTAGAGGGTATTCACAGTTCTGTAGATGAAAGCCTGTGGTAGTTTTTTGTTTTTTTTTTTCCCCCACATTGTCAAATAGCCTGTGAGAAATGCTTTAAAAGGAAGGAAAGATTTATTTGGGCTCATGGTTTTAGAGACTTCAATCCATGGCTACTTGACTACATTTCTAGACAGTTGGGATAAAACTTGATCAGGGAAACTGCAGGGCAAGTTACTCACTTCATGGGGCTAAGAAGCAGAGAGAAACAAAGAGTCCAGGGCAATGTGTATCCCTCAAAGACATGCTTGATTAGAGGAAGTGTTCTACTTCCTCTAATCAAGTCTCACTTCCTAATAGCCCATTCAATATGAATTCCTCAGTGGATTTTGCCCATTGATGAAATCCCATGGTGCACCCACCTCTCAATGATTGGATCAGCTACCTGGAGCCCAAGAATTTATCACATGCAACACATAGTTTTGGGGAAGCTCTTTGTACATAAACCATTCTTGTTTACTCAGTCTTTATGACCAGCATGACTTGGACAACAAGACTATAGGAAAAAAATTGTTTCATTGGAGAATATTCATGTGAACTTTCTCATCAAGATAATAGTAAATAAAATTTAATTATTTAAAAATTTAATAAAACATGTCCAAGTTAAGTTATTGCAGGTATGCTAGCATAGTTTCATATTAGAAAATTCATATATGTAACTAAGCATATTAAACAATAAAAGAGAATAACCCCAGTAGAGGTAAGATAAAATTTAGTACCAACCCATCTTTCTTTTGTAAAGATTAGTAAATTAGGAACAGGAGGTTCCTAACAGTTGAATGTTAGAAGCTCTCCATTTAAAATCAGACACTGGACTCTGAACTGGCCTGCCTGAGACCTCTAGATGGCCAACTCCAGTCCCCCATGAAGCCTCATTTCCAACAAAAGAGCCCATCATAAATCAAAAGAAACTTGCCAAATATCAGACGTGACTGTATATTGTTGAAAGGAAGTGTTTTTAAGTGGTGTGACCAACAGTATCTGTTACAACAAATGATAAAATTCTACTTCTCCTTATAAATCAGGAAAGACCAATATCTCTGATGCTAAACTTAAGTATGTTTCCAAACCAAGGAATGGAAATCCACTGTAATAATCCCAGCATTAGACATCTCTGGCAACAAACACCTCATCTTCCCCAACCATGCTGGGACAAAGCAGCTGACAGAAATGCCACCCAGGATCTTAAACCAGCTTGGCACTGACAAACTGGAGGAATCTGGCAGAAGCTGGTAGAAAAGCAGCACTTGCTGCTGGAGAGGGTGATCTTGTTCAGAATTTTGATGAGGCTTCAAACAATGAAACAAACAACTGATTCAACTTCAAAACTAAAACTGTAGTGATTTTTGACTGCTTTTAAATTCTAGTTTAGGATAAGATGAAATATAGATCTTTAATATTTTAAGTTCCAAGTTCCTTACACACTAACTTTTAGTTACTGCTTCTACTCAATTATTTGCTATTAATTAAGCCAGATAGTAAAGTCTAAATCAAAGATAAAGCTTTTGCTTCATTTTTAGAAGCGGGCTTGAGAAAGATACCCATGAGCATTACTTCTAGTCCTGAAGTGACTTTTCTGGAGGGTTCTATACACACAGTATAACAAAAACAATTTATAGAAGCAAAAGGATTGGGAAGGAAGAAATAAAAGAATAAATTCACAATTAATAGAATTTTCATGCTTAGAACTACCTCCTTCAAGAAACTACAAACTTGGAAACTATAATAGGGTTTAGCAAATTATTTGAAAGTCAGATTAGTGCACAGTGGCCATTTGTACTTTCTCATAGCAAGCTTCTAGAAGCATAACTAAGGCATCATTTGCAGTAGTGTCATCATGTCATCTTTATGTCTGGGAATAAATCTTACAAAGTAATTCAAGACCTCTACACAAAAGGGTTATGATGTTCTAAAATAATTATTATGTTCACAAACAGGAAGACAATATTACAAAAATGTATTTTCT